GGAGGCCGAGGCGGGTGGATCACGAGGTCGAGAGATCGCAGACCATCCTGGTCAACATGGTGAAACCCCGTCTCTACTAAAAATACAAAAAACTAGCTGGGCGTGGTGGCGTGTGCCTGTAATCCCAGCTACTTAGGAGGCTGAGGCAGGAGAATTGCCTGAGCCCAGGAGGCGGAGGTTGCGGTGAGCCGAGACCGCGCCATTGCACTCCAGCCTGGGTAACAAGAGCGAAACTCCGTCTCAAAAAAAAAAAAAAAAAAAAGAAAACAGAAAATATGTGCTGGGCACAGTGGCTCACGCCTGTAATCCCAGCACTTTGGGAGGCCGAGGTGGGCAGATCGTGAGGGGTCAAGAAATTGAGACCATCCTGGTCAACATGGTGAAACCCTGTCTCTACTAAAAATACAAATACAATTAGCTGGAAATGGTGGTGTGCCCCTGTAGTGCCAGCTACTCAGAAGGCTGAGGCAGGAGAATTGCTTGAACCTGGAAGATGGAGCTTGCAGTGAGCCGAGATCGCACCACTGCACTCCAGCCTGGTGACAGAGTGAGACTCCATCTCAAAAGAAAAAGAAAAAGAAAAAGAAAACAGAAAATATAGGGGATTATTTTAGTGTGCATTATTGCTCAATGTCATATCCAAGCATAAGCAAGGAAGAACGCTGGCAACTGGCCTGTACAGTAAAATGAAACTATGGCAGGGTTTTTACTTTTTCCTCAATTCTAGAGACAAATTAGAGACACTAGTAAGGAAGTGGCATTCATCACTATAATTTCTAATAAGGAAGTTTTCTAACAGTAAAACTTCTGCATTATATGTGGGCAGAAGTTTCAGGAATAGTGGTGCACAAAAAAGACGTATCCACAAATGTTCCCGAGAAAAATCAGAGATTTCCCACAAACTTGAGCGAAGTTATATTGGGCAACAGGTGGGTCAACTGAGTACTGTCAATAAAAGTGGCCAGGGAAAAGCTGAATTCAGATGAACTTTTCTATACAGTTTGCCTTCTACAATAACTGCTTTTATTAATCTGGTCGTATAAGCAGAAATTTTAACCCAAGTATAGAAATAGCTTAAAGATACTATTCTTCCCATGAGCCCTAAAGGAGAATTGTGAATGTATAAAAAAGATACAGAGAAACAGAGATTCTCAGAGCCACACAAGTACTCAAGAATACCGCTAGACCCATGAGCTGTCGGGGTTAATGAGTGGTGCTGGGAACACTGTTAAACTCTCTTTGCTTGTATTTCCTTATCTGTAAGACAGAGTTAGTAATAAACCTAGATAGGTATTTTTATTACTATGTAGGCACAAGGATGCCAGATAATTTCAAAAGATTATATGTGGAAAAACAGAACAGTTCTAGAACATAGTATTTGCTCATTAGATGTTAGTTCGTCATAATTTGCATTCAAATTTAAAATGGTAAAATGGGTCATCTGAGTACTTGTTCCCTGGATGCTCCTGGTAACTTTTTGTTTCTTTGAGACAGAGTCTTACTTTGCAACCCGGGCTGGAGTGCAGTGGCAGGATCTTGGCTCACTGCAGCCTCGACCTCCTGGACTCAAGTGATCCTCCCACCTCAGTCCCCTGAGTAGCTGAGACTAAAGGCACATGCCACCACACTGAGCTAATTTTTTTATTTTTTGTTGAAATGGGGTTTTGCTTGCCCAGGTCTCGAACTCCTCCGCTTAAACAATCTGCCCACCTTGACCTCCCAAAGTACTAGCACGGCAAGTGTGAGCCCGTGTCTGGCTCATGATGGTAACTTTGAAAATTTCTTATTCTTGTTGTGGAATAATCATACCTTTACCATTTCTTTTTTCAGCCTGACATAATTAAAGACATATCAGTAGAAAATTCTGTAATACTAGTGGAAAGGAATAAATTATTTTCTTCTTTAGATTTATCGCAATCTAAGGATTTAAACCTACGGTGTCTTCTGTTACCACAGCTCCCAAGGAAATCGTACAGTTCTTTACATTCGAGAAGTGCTTGATATTTTCAAAGCAACTTTGAATAGTAATTAAACAACATCTCTGTGAAGCAGGTCAGTACTTTCATCTTTCCTAGTAGGTAAACAGGACACAGAGAAGTAAAATAATAATTTGCCTTAGGTCATAAACTAGCTCATCATTTGAAATGACTTCCGGTCAATTAACTAGTCTGTGGTTCAATCCGGCAGGCCAAGCTGCAACAAATGAAATATCAAAATACTACTTTGTATATTATACATTAGTGAGTCATCACTGTATCCTGTCCTTCACAAATCAGAACTTTGCATCTCATGTTCTGACTGCCCCTGTTGACCTTCCTTTCCCAGCCCCCTTATTTTTGTAGCTAATTTTAACTCATGCTTTATAAGATGACTCATATGGAACCTCTAAGTAGCCTTGCCTGACCTTGCTGTCTCATTTAGAGTCTCCTACTCATTGTTCACATAGCATTCTGGGTCCCACAGCATATCTCCATCATGGCACTACCTAGACTATTATGATAAGGGGCTTGCTGAGGAAAAGGAACTTTTCTTTTTTATCTTTATGTTCTCTAGCATAATATTTAGCACATAATATTTGCTCAGCAAATCTTTTTGAATGAAAAGTACATAAATGGAATATGTATTAGTTAGGATAGGAGAGGATGTGGTATAATAACAAACAGACTAAGTTTATTTCTCACTTAATAGACATGTCTAATATAGGTCAGAAGAATGCTCTGCCTCCATAACTCAAAGATGCAATCTGACTAGACTCCACCACCTTATGGTGCTGCATTGTCTAAAGCAGACCAACTTCTCAATTAACAAGGAAGGAGAAATGCTGGAGGAGTGCACACTGAAAATGAAATTCACTGTAATTATAATTTCCATCTAAAAGTTATTGGCCAGAGAACTACTCACTTGAGACTTGAAACAGACAATGTCTGTCCTTGGCTTAAATTCCTGATTGGCATATGTTCAATGGCCAGCACCTGGGACTCTTCAATGGCTTCCATTTGGGCTACTGGAGCCCCTTTGCACTGAGAGCTGCAAATGCCTGGTGCATACACCCAAGTGGCTGTTGATTTTTTTTTTTTTTTTTTTTTTTTTGAGACACATCTTACTCTGTCACCCAGGCTGAGTGCACTACTGTGTTGACAGCTCACTGCAACCTTAACCTCCTGGGCTCAAGCGATCCTCTCATTTCAGCCTCCCAAGTAGCTAGGACTACACGTGAGCACCATCATGCTAGCCTAATTTTTAAATTTTTTGTAGAGAACGTGCTCTCACTATGTTGTCCAGGCTGGTCTCAAACTTTTGGGGTCAAGCGATATGACTGCCTCAGCCTCCCAAAGTGCTGGGATTGCAGGCATGAGCCACTGCACCTGGCCATGGCTGTTGATTAGAGGCTGTCTTGCACAGGAATATTAGCTCAGGTCCCTTGCTTCAGGTTGGGACAATGCAGAGAAATTGCTTGCCCTTCAAAATTCTCCTGTGGGATCTTAATAAAGCCTACCCTGTGTGGGACTTTTGCTTCATTTGGCTTTATTTCGTTGTCTATCTTGCTTCTATCACTTCCTTAGTCTTCTTTGAAAATATTTCCTTAATATATCATTTGCATATACATTCTTGTCTTACAGATTGGATCTGGGAAACTTGACCTAAGACAATGTCACCTAACTAAAAGGTGGACAGAGAAATATAATGCATCACATTTCCAGAAACAAAGTACTCATACAAGTGAGACCTATAATGTCTGCCACAGAATAATGAAAGGCAGTTTGGTGATTAAAGAAAGCCAATGAATTCTAGCCATAGGGACTGGACATAGGAAAGGAAAGACAGGATTGTGTAGGAAAAGCATCACTGAGAATAGTGACTTAACTGCAGGTAAAACACCGAGGAAACCAAGCCAGTAGTCCAAAACGCAAAATTGAAAGAAGTCCTGGTCTTGGTCCTAACAGGAGTCATTATTTGAGAAGAACCAATTGTGCAGTAATGGTTAGAGATGACAGGTAATGCAAGGGGTCCATGTCATATCAAGGTATAAATATGTACAAAGAAGTATAAATACCAGAAGAAGTCAATTTGATGGCATTCTGGTTATGGGTTATTATTTCAAAGCAGGTCCTCAGTTAATGACTAATAATCTGGAGAATTCTGGAGTAGAATGTGGCCTTTGGTGGGAAAATGGTAGTAAATTCTGTGCAGAGCCTCTGGATATTGGAGAAAGAGACTAGAGGCCCTAATTTTGGTGGAATACTAGCAGGGAAGAAAAGGCAAAATCCCAGTTGAATGAAGTGGGCAAACACTCTGAGGGGCAGAGGTAGGCTGCACTTGATGGGCAGTTTTGCCCAGACTCACAGATGTCTGGGTACTGGTCCTGTAGCTGCAAGATTCATCCCAGATACCTCTGACTGATTTTCCATGCTCTAGTGAGGAGAGGCTCAGCCTTCTATGGGATAAAAATCCCTTTGGCAATAAGAGCGGCGAAGTAAAATATTTTTCTTTAATGGTTCTACATTTTGAGTCATAGTTAGAAAGGATTTCCCTAAATTCATCTTTTTTCATTTAGCTTTTTGACCACACAAATACAACTTTTTAATGTAATCTGCTGGTTCTACACTTTATAGTTTATTTTATTTACCAGTGACCAGTGATCAGATGTGAGTGACTTGGCCATGACCTATAACCAGTGCTTGATGATTGCAAAACACTCACCAGCTGGTGGAGCAAATTCCTCCCTGCCCAAGATGATGCTTTCAAGAGCTTTCTGGGCATGAAATGCTTCTCAGTGGACAATTTTTGAAAATACACATATAGAGCCACATGAATCCCCTATTTGTGTTGTCATGAAGAAAAAAAAAAAGATATAACCTCAAAATCAGGGGAGATGGGAGATCTCAGGAATGATTCTTACCTGTTATTGCTGAGGAATAGCAGAAATTTATGGAAATTCTTATTTTTCCTACAACCATATGATGGTATCATGCCTACCTCTTGCCTCCTGAACATGGTACCTCTCCGTGGTAACTCCTGTCCCTGCTTAAGTGTTCCGCCCTCACCCATAGTTGTCTCTTCCCTTCAAAAAGCAGGCTGCATGCAGCCATGGCCAGGTTGAGGCTGTTCATGACAGGGGCGACAGGGATCAGCAGCCTCTTGCTGCCAGTGCTCTCAGCCAGCTACAGAGACTCCAGGTGCCATGGGTCTCACTGCCAACCACCACAGCTGCTGGTGCCTCTGTCCAGTCCAAGTCGTGACTCTGAACCTCAGTATCAGACAGCCAACCTTTACTGGCTCCAGTTTCTGGACCTTACTTTTCTTCATACTTGTGAAACATCAGGTATTGCCAATTACACACCAAGCCATAGTCACTGGCTTTATTAGAAATCTGAGCCTGAGCATAAAGGCTTTAGTTGTCAGCCACATAGACCTGGGTGTCAGGGGGCAAGTAATATGGCACTATTTCTGCTTTCAGATTATCAATACTGGGTACCTGGAAACGTGCACCCATACCCACCTGTAGCACTTTGGGCTCCCAGGCAATCACATAGCCTTTCAAAGTTTGAAACGCTGTAACCTGCCCAAGCGGTAGATTTCAGAATTGTCCCCAGGCTCCCAGGGTCACAAAGATTGTCACAAATCAATAATAGTGTCAGTAATGCTAAAGCTGAGTCTTTGAATATGTCATGTTAATATGGTCAGGTTTGGCAAAAATCCCCATTATTTTCATGGCATTACTAGGTTGGACCAATCCTTGACGTCCTTGAATTTCACTTTAACGAGGCTGACACCTTTCAGCTCACCGACTAGCAACTTCTTTGCTTCTTTATGTATTGTAGATAGCTAGAGAAGAAAACTTTTGGCACAACTCCAGCCTTTAGAGGGTCTGTGAGACCTTCCAGCAGGATCTTCCCTTGTTTTTCCCAAAATAGCCTGGATTTAACTATTCGGCATGACGAGTTTGAAGAAGGCTGCAAAGGCCTGTAATGTGTATGATACCTTGTTTCTTAAAATCTCCTTTAGGCTGTGAATACACCTATGAATATAAGCTGTTAATTTATATAATCAGGGTGAGAGAGACCACCTGGGGAATTATGCGGCCTTCTATCTTGTAGCTTATCCGTGTCAGGTTTCTCCATCAATAAAGTGGGTATGATGACAGTGTATCTTCCTCACTGAAGTTTGAGCAACTTTTCATTGAGATCACCTAAAAACAGTGTCTGATACAGTGTCATGTGCGTAGCGACCCTGGCATTCATGTTTTAAATGAACTCACTCATGTCGTCTTCTAGTAATTATATAATTTATTATTTTATATTTGGATACCTGATGTGTTTTGAGAATTCTCTTTTGAATAGATGAAGGATGGATCTAATTTTGTCTTTTTCCAAAATTCTTGTTCTGTTTTGTTTTGTTTTCTGAGACAGAGTACTGCTCTGATACCCAGGTTGGGTGGAGTACAGTGGTGTGACCACCATTTACTGTAGCCTCAATTTCCAAGACCCAAGTGATCGTTCCACCTCAGCCTCCCAAGTAGCTGGGACCACAGGCACATTCTACCAGTTCTGGCTAATTTTTTGAATGTTTTGTATAGATGAGGTCTCACTATTTTGCCCAGGCTGGTCTTGAACACATGGCCTCAAGTGTTCCTCCTGTCTCAGCCTCCCAAAGTGCTGGGGCATGGGCCATTGCGCCTGGCTCCAAAATTCTAATATTTCAATACAATTTTTGTTAAAGTCTATCATTTCCCTCCAGTGATGCAAACTTGCACATTTATCATTTACTAAATTCCTTATGTACTTTATTGGATCTATTTCTAAACTTGGTATTCTGTTCCATTGGTCTCTCTATTCATGCATCCACACTCTACTTTTTTTTAATTATAGAGGCTTTAAAGTATGTTTTATGTCATGTAAGTCTACTTCCCACTCATTAGCTTTTTTTTTTTTTTTGGAGATGGAGTCTTGCCCTGTCACCTAGGTAGGAGTGCAGTGGCATGTTCTTGGCTCACTGCAACCTTCACCTCCTGGGTTCAAGCAAATCTCTTGCCTCAGCCTGCTGGGTAGCTGGGACTACAAGGAACACACTGCCATAGCCAGCTAAGTCTTTGTATTTTAGTAGAGATGGGGTTAACCGTGTTGCCCAGGCTGGTCTTGAACTCCTGAGCTCAGGCAATCAGCCTGCCATGGCCTCCCAAAGTGCTAGGATTACAAGCGTGAGCCATTGCACCAGGCCTAGCTTTTCTTTATTTGGAGTTTCCCTACGTATTCTTGCATGTTTATTTTCCCATATGAATCTTAGCATTTATCTATCTTCATCAAATAACAACAACAACTTCAGAGTATCTTTACTGGGATCACATTTAATTTATATATTAACTTGAAGGAAATTTACATTTTTATAATATCGAGTTTTCTTTCCCAAAGAGAAGGGATGTCTTTCATTACTTCAGGCCAACTTTCTGAATTTGAATATTTTGAAGTTTTTCCTACATAGGTTTTGCACATTTTCTATTGATTTGTTTCCAAGTATTTTCTTTCTGTCCTTATTTTAAACATTTGTTGTTTTAATTATATATTTTAATTGGTTATTGTTTCTATTTTTGAAAGGTATTGATTTTTATATGTTAATTTAATATCTGCTACCTTATTAAATCTTTTTTCTTGTGTTAGTCTTCCTACTGATTATCTTCTGTGTTCTTGGTACACTAACTAATAATATGTCATTACATACAGTTTTACACTTTCTTTTCTAATTTATTTATTTATTTGGAAATGGGATTTCCCTGTGTTGCCCAGGTTGGCCTTGAACTCCTGGGCTCAAGCCCTCCTCCCTTCTCAGCCTCCCAAGTAGCTAGGACTACTTTGGGTGCCAGGTACGCACTACTGCATTGGGTTCTTTCTTTTCAAATTCTTACAATGCTGCTTATTAAGATTCATGAGCTAATAGCTTTGGTCCAAGTTTAGCAGTAGTGGAGCTGATAGGTTTCCTTATCTTGCTTCTGACTTTGGCAGGAATGCTTCCATCATATCTCTATATAGCCATCAAGTCATAGCATGTGTATCAATTTCTCCAGCTTTTTAAGCATATCTAGCCCTATGTGCAGAGTGGGTCCTGATCATTTGTTTTATGAAAAGCTTCAGAACTGATTCTAATGTAAACTCTCAAGAATATATTCCATAACAATATAAGGCATAAATAAGTAAATTAATAAAGTGTACAAACATTTATTGAGTTGCACTTTGTGTAGGACCTGCAGATACAAAGATAGGCTCTTTACTTTAAGAAGCTCAATGTAGTAGAGGAAAGACCTACAAAGTAATGATTGCATACAATATAATTTTTACAGAATAGAAAGTGTTCCATCACTAGTGTATTTGCCAAAAGTTATTCTCCAGAGAGTTCACAAAAAAACTTACTTTTAAGTTTTATAAAACTGCATCCTATAAAACTATTTATTAGTCTCTGGCTTTTAAAATAATCAACAGTTACTGCCTAAAATATTATGATTCTAAATTTTCTGCTATGTTCTTTCCTTGCCTCATGTGTTATTTTCAAAGTGTAGCAGTATCAATTATGGTAAGCAGTCAAATTCATTTTGGGGTTTTCATAGTTATTTTATGATCAAAGTTCAGTCAGTTGCCTATTAAGCAAAGTTATGCACATAAAAATTCCGAAAATAAAATAATTCTCTTACTTTCGTTAAAATGTTTACACCAATACTTCGAATGTTTTGTACCTACAACAAACCAACTCTGAGACCTATGTCTTTCCCCAGTGCCTACTGACTTCCTTTCTTTTTAATCTCTCAGCAGGTTTCACATTTGGAAGAGGGTAGAAAAAATGATCCTCATGTCTTGGATGGGGGTAGACATTTTGAAAAAAGAGGAGATAGAATTTTTAACTTAAAATGGGCTATAGAATTTTAAAAATCAGACATAGTAGGGTAAACTTTTGGCTTCCTTTGTACTTCAGCTTGAACTGGTGGCTGCATTTGGGCCTCACATTCTTGCCTTGCAGGCTGTTTTTCTGCCTGTTGGGTCTAATGTACCTTTAGGAGTTACCTGTGAATCAGAAAAGGTAGAGTGATCATTATCAGGTATGTGGGGGAGGGGGAGAAAGCACAAAATTGGATGTTTAGGACTAATTTTAGTTGCTGTATTTCTGGAGAGACTAGTAAAAAAGATTTCAGCTTTTTTTTTGTCATATACTGACCCTTATTTATTAAAATAGAATAGGAGAAGGGACCCAGGGCAGATGCTTTTTTCAGAAACAAAGGTTATTTATTGACTAGGTTAGTATTTTTCAGGAACATAAGCTTGTAATTGAGAAATAGATACAAGAAATAACCCAGTAGAGGACAATCTACCAACTTCTCTGGCAGAAATCCTGTCAGCTATGAAAGATGTCACATTATTGTCCTTCTTCTGGAAAAGTCAATATTAATGGCAAACTTTATTGGTGCTTTCTATTTATTTTCACCTTTTTATATGTGAGGGGAAAGCTTATGCAGATATCTAAGTAGCATGTATGAAGGAGAAAATGGTTTTCTGTCATTACTTTTCTAAAATATAACATTAACTTCCTAAGCATTTGGAATGCTGTTCGTAATTTCTTTTTTGACAGTTTTTCTACACTTCATGGAGTAAGTGTATTAAGCATACCAATGAACTGTGTATATCATCTGCTTGCAATTTCCTTTCTGGCAGTATAAGGGTGAAAACTTTCTAACTCTGTATTAGTATTATCCTTGGGTAACAGTGCAGTGTTTTATATACTCCTTAGAATCTATAAAGTCTTTGGTATGAAGAGTTCCCACATGGATCTGTTGGTTATTTATTTTGTGTTTTAAAACTCCATCTGTATGTCACATAGAATAACAACTTAAATACGTGCCAAACTGTTTTACAGCATACTTTAGTTTGAGATCAGTTGCTACTTTCGACATCAAGGTAAGGCATCTTACAGAAGTAATAAAAAATTTCAGTAAGTAGATAATAAAGACTAATATGTCACATATTTCTTGTCTCAAACCAGATTACTTTTCATCTAACTTTTTCTTCTTGGAGCCCAACACAACACCTAAAGCCATGTTAATTTGCAGTTCTGTTGTAATGAATTTTCATAAAAATCTGAGTTCTGTCATCAGGAACATTCAAGGGCCAATTCATTAATCTTGTACCCAAATCTTTCTTTTAGACACGCCCACACACATACACACACATATACACACAGTCATGTAAAGGATGGCAAAATATTATTTCGGCTCAGTGAACAAGGACTTAATAGCTTTCTGGGTCATGCTTATGTATTAACCTATCTATGCATAAGTTTGAATTAATATGATTGCCAACAGCATAAGAGTATTTGTGAAGATATAGATTCCAAGAATATGAGCTAGACTTAAAAGTAAGACTACCCTAACTACCCATTAAATAGGTATAAACGACTGCAGCGTTAGAACTAAGGATAGAATTTCTTTCTGTGTACCAATTAATCATTCTCAACTAGTAACTTAATGGTTTGTATGATTTAGAGAAGCAAAACTAAATTTCAGCTAAATGCAGAAGTTTAAATGTAAATTTTCTTAAAGGGTCCAGTTAGTTTCATATGTTTAGCTCTTAAACTCTCATTACTACACTTATCCATTAATCTGATGTTTTAGACTATTTGTATTCTTCTATAGGCCTTAAACATTGTTTATTTACTTCAACCTTGACAGGATATTTATAATGTTGTCTATTGGCTTTGGTGAGAAAGTGTTTTTATTTTTCAGAAACTTAAATATAGTGCATTTTCATTTTCAATTAGGATTTATTTTCAAAGAAGTCACTATATTACTTTATTGTGTGCATTATATTTTAAGGAAGACTTAAATAATTTCTTTTTAGTACCATAGATACAATCAATCAAAACTCTTACAGAGGCTGACAAAATACTGCTTCAGTTAGGCGAACAGGACCTGCACAGCCTTCTGTGTCATGCTTATTGAAGCAATAAATTACTTTCTTAGACGAAAATCATCCTCTAAAATTGCTTTAGCTTTTTCTGAAGCAAAGGTATTGAATGCATAGTATTGGGAACACTTTATTTTGCTTTTGAGTAAATGCAATTATTTTCCACTTGATAGCTAACATCACAAGAGAAAAAGATATGTTTCTTATGTGTTACTGTTTTCTCATTCACATGAAGTCTAGTTTTAATTTGCCCCAATAAAGGTTCTTCCCACTCTGTAACTTAATTTCATTGTTCTCTTAACGCAGAAGTCTCAAAGTAATCTTAAAGCATCTGAGACATACTTAACAAATTTGAGTTTAATGCCTGATGCCATTTCCTTGAAAATTTATTTCTAAAGATAGATAAAAGTCCTTTTTAAAAGTTTTGATAAAATATGGACATTGACTTCTTATTCACTGTTCATCCTTGAAATTTCATAAATTAAGTGAATAACAAGTGTCTCCCATTTTAGTCTCTGCTGAGAAATATGCTAACATATCACACATATACAAATAGGTTACTATGTGAAGAAAGTAACAAGGAAGAAATCAAATGAAAATTAAGTGCCTTTGGGACTTAAAACTCATGGGAAAGTTTGAAATCTAGGCCAAAAACATCAAAGAAAGACTCAAATTCATGCTCAGGTGAATGTAACCACCACTTGATTTGTGTAGTACATGCTGAACAAATTCTGATATAGAAAGCTATGCATTTAGCTTATTTTGATTCACATTAACTTTAGTCAGTTTTTAGAGGCTTATGGGTCTTTTTTCAAATCTGAGGAAAGCCATGAATCCTAGCCCAGGGGGTAAAAATACACCTAAATGGAAACACACAAATCTTGCATAGAATTTTAGGATGTTTGCAGACTCAATGAAGCCAATCCCACCAAATATACAGGAATTTTTATGAGTCAGAACCCTAATGTTATAAATAAGAGAAAGCCAGCTCATATTATCTTAAGGCAAAGATCAATATATTGCCCATATAGCTGGAAATATATTAGAATAACTCAATGGCTGTATGAAGTAATGCCTACAAGAACTGGATTTGGAGAGTCAGCATTACCAGGATATGCTCTAACTGCTGTTCATTACTATGGGAATTACCTTTCTTGGCATAGTAATCTCATTTTCTCCTGCTGTAGAGATACCTTTTTCACATGGTGGAGAACTTACTTGCCAGCAGATCCAGCTTAGCCACCCTAGGAAGAAGTTGCCCTGAGCATCTGTGTATCAAACCTAGTGACAAATTCTCTCTGACTTGGACACTTGATAATCCACTAATCACTGTCGAGAAAATTAATCAAGTCTGAGTTCCATAGCCTCCTCTGTGGCAGGAAGGCAAGAGAGGCAAAGTGTGTAACTAGAAGAAAGAAAATGGAATTCCTTAAGCACTGTAACCAATATCCACAGCTTCTGTATCAAGAACCTAAGACAATAGGGATAATGACAAGGAATTACCTTTTTCAACTTTTATATGAGAACTATTTCAAATTTCAGCCAAACAAATGTGAGAATACCAAAGAAGAAAATGAGCTGGCAGTTAATGGATAAACTAAGGCAGTGTAAAGTATGAAAGAGTGTTAGTGCTGTGCTGATAAATTTGCTCTCTAGGAAAGAAAACACACATAAGTATATATTTTTGAAATATACTTCAGTATAAAGAATAAATGACACACAGTTTATTAAAAATGATATAATATTCATTATGTTTATGATCTTCATATAGCCAATTAAATATCTTCTAATGCTTTTGCTGAATTCCTCTATCCTCCCTAAATTACGGTTGCAATTAATAAATAGTATTCCATAAACATGAGTGTTGGTTGATATTTTCTTTTTCATTAGCAAGTGAAATGTCAGAACTTCACTCATTTGTCAATGAACAACTTTATGCGAGCAAATTATTTGCTAAATTGAAGAATTAAGTTTTTGAATGCAGGAGATACTGTAGGTTCAGTTCCAGACCATAGCAATAAAGCAAATTTCGCAATAAAGCAAGTCACACAAATTTTTGGCTTCCTAGTGCATATAGAAGTTGTGTGTATACGCTGGGGTCCGTTGGGGGGAAATGGGGGAGGGACGGGGAGGTGGGGAGGTGGGAAGAGATAGCATGGGGAGAAATGACAGATACAGGTGAGGGGAAGGAAGGCAGCAAACCAAACTGCCATGTGTGTACCTATGCAACAATCTTGCATGTTCTTCACATGTACCCCCAAACCTAAAATGCAATAATAAAAAAAAAAAATCAATAGCAAAAAAAAAAAAGAAAAAAAGAAGTTGTGTGTATATGAAACTATAGTAAGTGTGCAATAACATTATATCTAAAAATATATATACATAATTTAATTTAAAAGTATTTTGTTGCTAAAAATTGCTGACAATCATCTGAGCCCTTCAGCCAGTGGTGATCATTTTGCTGGTGGAGGTTCCTGTTTCAAAGTTGATGGCTGCTGACTGAGCAGGCTAGCAGTTGCTGAAGGTTGGGGTGGCTGTGGCAATTTCTGAAAATAAGATAATAACGAAGTTTGCTGCACTGATTAACTCTTCTTTTCATAAAAGATTTCTGTGCAGCATGCAATGTTGTTTGATACTATTCGGCCCACAGTAGAACGTCTTTCAAAACTGAAATTCTAACCAATCCAGCTGCTGCTTTACCAACTAATAATATATTATTAGTATTATATTATGTTAATAATAATATTATGTAATATTGTAAATCCTTTGTTGTGATTTCAACAGTGTTCACAGCATCTTCACTAGGAGTACATTCCCTCTCAAGAAACCACTTCTTTGCTCATCCCTAAGAAACCATTCCTCAACTACTCAAGTTTGATCATGAGATTGCAGTAATTCTGTCACATCTCCAGACTCTATTTCTAATTCTAGTTCTCTTGCTATGTCCACCACATTTGAAATAACTTCCTCCACTGGAGTCTTGAACCTCTGTAAGTCATTTATGAGGGTTGGAATCAAGTTCTTCCAAACTCCTATATAAATATTGATATTTTGACCTCCTCCCATGAATCACAAATATTCTTAAAGACACCTAGCAGGGTGAAACCTTTCCAAAAAGTTTTCAATTTATTTTGCCCAGATCCATCAGAGAAATCACTAATCTATGGCAGCGACAGCCTTATGAAATGCACTTCTTAAATACTAAGACTTGAAAGTTGAAATGGCTCCTTGATTCATGGGCTGCAGAACAGATGTTGGGTTACCAGGCATGAAAATAACATTATTCTTCTGTACATCTCTATCAGAGCTCTTGGGTAATCAGGTCCATTGTCCGTAAGTGTAATATTTTGAAAGAAATCCCTGTTTCTGAGCAGTAAGTCTCCACTGTGGACCTAAAAGTTTCAGTAAACTATGTTGTAAACGGATGTGCTGTAACCCAGGATTTGTTGTTCCATTTCTAGAGCACAGGCAGAGTAGATTTAGCATAATTATTAAGGGCCCTGAGATTTATGGAATGATAAATGAGCACTGGCTTCAACTTAGAGTCACCAGTTGCATTCACCTCTGACAAGAGAGTCAACCTGTCCTTTGAAGCCTTGAAGCCAGGCATTGTCTTCTCTTCTCTAGCTGTAAATATCCTGGATGCCATCTTCTTCCAAGAGAAAGCTACTTCATCTACATTGAAAATATATTGTTTAATATAGCCACCTTCATCAAAGATCTGGGCTAGATGCTCTGGATAACTCGTTGCAGCTTCTACATCAGCCCCTGATGCTTCATCTTGTACTTTCATGTTATAGAGATAGCTTCTTTCTTTCAACCTCCTGAACCAGCCTCTGCTAGCTTCAAATCTTTCTTCTACTTCTCTCAGCCTTGACAGAATTTACAGAGAGTTAGGGCCCTACTATGCATTAGGCTTTGGCTTAAGAGAATGTTATGGCTGGGTTGACCTACCAGACCAACCAGATCACTCAAACTTTCTCCGTACTAGTGGTACAGCAGTTTCACTTTCATATCTTTTATGTTTTCACTGCAGTAGCATTTTCAACTTCCTTTAAGACCTTTTATTTGTGTCCACAACTGGGCTAACTGTTGGTGCAAGAGGCCTAGCTTTCAGCCTGTCTCAGCTTTTGAC